AGTATGGGAAGTCTGTGGAGTGAGACCAGTATGGGAAGTCTGTGGAGTGAGACCAGTATGGGAAGTCTGTGGAGTGAGACGAGTATGGGAAGTCTGTGGAGTGAGACCAGTATGGGAAGTCTGTGGAGTGAGACCAGTATGGGAAGTCTGTGGAGTGAGACGAGTATGGGAAGTCTGTGGAGTGAGACGAGTATGGGAAGTCTGGGGAGTGAGACGAGTATGGGAAGTCTGGAGAGTGAGACCAGTATGGGAAGTCTGGGGAGTGAGACGAGTATGGGAAGTCTGGGGAGTGAGACCAGTATGGGAAGTCTGGGGAGTAAGACCAGTATGGGAAGTCTGTGGAGTGAGACGAGTGTAGGAACCTCTGGGAGTGAGACGAGTATGGGAAGTCTGTGGAGTGAGACCAGTATGGGAAGTCTGTGGAGTGAGACCAGTATGGGAAGTCTGTGGAGTGAGACGAGTATGGGAAGTCTGTGGAGTGAGACCAGTATGGGAAGTCTGTGGANTCAAAAATACCTGGCGTCCGCCGAGCGGTCAGCGCTGGCCAAGACTCTGAGCATGACAGACGCACAGGTGAAAACTTGGTTCCAAAACAGGAGAACAAAATGGAGGTAGGTTGGTCAGCTTGTGCTAATAAGCGTTGGCGTCGCAGCAAATGTTATTAGATGGCCGACAAAGTTTTTGGTTGAGCCTCAGGGTGATTTTGGGTGGGGGGGGGGGGGGGGGATAGCTAAGTTGGGCGCTGAAATGATTTGGAGAATTTGTTGGAAGTCCAAAATGGGGCGCAGGGAAATTTAACGAGAATATATTAAAATTGCCGGTATGTCATATCATAAACGGCACGCCATGTCATTGACAGTATGCTATGTAATTGGTGGTCTGATCTGTCACTGACGGTATGCCATGTCATTGACAGTATACCATGTAATGATGGTATGATCTGTCACTGACGGTATGCCATGTCATTGACAGTATGTCATGTAATTGATGGTATGATCTGTCACTGACGGTATGCCATGTCATTGACAGTATGCCATGTAATTGATGGTATGATCTGTCACTGACGGTATGCCATGGTGTCATTTTCGGTATGCCATGTCACTGGCGAAATGCCCAATCAATCACTGTAAATTAGTTAATTGTAATTTCTTATCTCTACTGCTGCTATTGTTATGATCTGTCAGCTTTTCATTGAGTATTCTGTCACATTCCTAAATGTGACATTATTTGTTCCTAATTTTATTTGTAAATTATTTGCAAACATGTTCAACGTCATAAAGCGTTGATTTTAAAAAAAAATAGAAGATAGCTCATTTATTACTTGAACACATTCGATTCTACAATTATTGATGCTGTAATTAATTCGACAGGCGGCAGACGGCCGAAGAGCGAGAAATTGAGAGACAGGCAGCCCACAAATTTCTGCTTAGCCTCAGACCTGACGAGGCAGGTCGTCGGGCAGCAGCAGTGTGTTGTGTCACAGAGTCGGGTCCCCACTGACCCCGAAGTCGGGCCCGCAATGACCACAGCGATCGTGTCTACGGCCAGACGACAGAACTTTAAAAATTCAAACAACTCGTGTAAGGAGGAAAAGAGAAACGAAACAATGTTACTAGCCCCTCGTCTTTGATGCAACTGCTTGGAGGCTTGTTTGTCGCGTTGACCATAGATTGTGAATCTGATTGCATTTTATTTCATGATGGAATTAAGACAGCGAAAAGCATCGAACTTCAGAAAGGGAATGATGCTGATTGGAAGAAACGCTACAAATCGGCTCGTGGAGGTGGGGACATACGTATTTACAAGGGGACACACGTACCTACAAGGTGTACCACAAATTTTCAGCCCCTAGCTTTTCGTTCCACGTGCCATTTCACTAGTTATGCTATTGGCTTCTAGCTAACAGGTTAACACCCCTAATGTGGTCGAGGAAAAGTTGTATGTGGAGTCACCGACTGAGAGAGCAATGGCAATAATTTCAAAATACTTTAAATTGAAACAAGTTTTTGTTATGTTTCTTTGACCATAACATTTTTGTAATGTATCTGGTTCCATAAATTGGGGTCGAGGGTCACTTTGCGTCTATAAATTGGGGTCAAGGGTCACTTGGCTTCTATTTTACCAAAAAAAAGTTTTTTTTTGGCCTATAATCCAAGTTGAATATAATTATTGAATGTTACCTTATTAATATAAATACAGCACGCGCCAAATTTAACTGCACTGAAAAGTGAGGTAAAACAATATTTTCTTGTATTCATCTTTAATGTATTCTCCGGGAATAAAGTAACATGCACGCTATTAGCGTGTTGAATGACCTCAATATGTGTTATGTAAATGTTCATAGTGTGTACCGCTCACGTTCTTTTCCAAACATATCACTGCAGAATGGTCACAACACACTCTCCTTTAACATTCCCTACAAGTAGGCACCAGGTGGCGCATTATCTGGGGAGTGAGACGAGTATGGGAAGTCTGTGGAGTGAGACCAGTATGGGAAGTCTGTGGAGTGAGACCAGTATGGGAAGTCTGTGGAGTGAGACCAGTATGGGAAGTCTGTGGAGTGAGACCAGTATGGGAAGTCTGTGGAGTGAGACCAGTATGGGAAGTCTGTGGAGTGAGACGAGTATGGGAAGTCTGTGGAGTGAGACCAGTATGGGAATTCTGTGGAGTGTGACATGATTCGTTCACGAAAAGTTTTTCTACAGCATGAAAAAGTAACGGCGAAATTGTTAACAATAGATCCGTCTCATTAAATCTCTCTCGGAATTGTTCTGACAACGTTTTTTTCAAACTCGGCCCCTCCACTTTTCCTTTACTAAAAGTTCCAAATGAGCGAAATAGTGCTCAAATGTGAAGATGTTTTCCTCAGTAGAGAGACACTTTTCCAACTACCCTACACAACTTCCTTCACACCTCAGGGAACTCGTTGTGGCTAGAGTTATGGACCGTTGAGAAAAGCACCTCCTACGCATTCAAGATGCGGCAGTGTCGGTACTGTTACTTTTGGTGCATACTTGATAAGGGTTTCAAACAGTGGCGTAGCAAGGTTTAATGCCGCACATGGTGGGTCGCGATTTTGCCGCCTCCCACCTTTCCCCCAAAAAGTGCTGTTGGCCAAAAACGCCTTTCCTCCATATCAAAAAAGCCTTCTTTTTTTTTTTCAAATCAACTCTGGGCAGAAGTTTCCCATTACATACGCCCCTTTCTCCGTCACTGGTTTCAAACACCTCCAAAATAGAACTTCCTCTCTCCCATGATCACTCTAACAATGACACCAGTTATATTAGAATCTCTTAGCAATTAGCAGCAGGGGAAAAAACATTTTAAAAAAAAAAAAGACAACTTAATATATTTTTGTTTAAATTTGGAAAATGTTTTTATATGTCTGAGCTTCACTCATGCTCGGAGACCCAGGATCAAGTTCCACATACTTGAGCGTGGCGAGGGGGTAAATGTAATCTTGTAATCAGACTGCAGCAAAAAAAAGAAGAAGAAAAACGCTGCGGGAAGGAGCAAAGGGAAAATAAGGAAAAGGGGGGGGGATGTTACGGTGATCAGGTAGACATAGAGCTTTTGGAGCACATGTTAATCTCACAAATGTGATTAGTTTTAGAGGTGGTACGCAAGAATATGGGTGTAATTATGTCTATTTGCCCGGACCACCAGGTGTGTAGTGGCTTAACTGCAAAATTATTCAAATGAAACCTTACTGCAAATGTAAGCGGCTTAAATTATCAGGGACAGGCGCATCAAGCGCCGTCAACGTCAATTATTGTTTTGTAGATGGATATCCTTAATTTTTATATCATCTAGTTTATTTTGGGGTTCCTAGTGGTCATAAATATTGCTCCTTTTAACCACTAACTGTTGCATCTCTTACTTTGGTTATCTCAAGGTGTAATGGGCCATAGCTGACTGTTGCATCTCTTACTTTGGTTATCTCAATGTGTAATGGGCCATAGCTGACTGTTGCATCTCTTACTTTGGTTATCTCAAGGTGTAATGGGCCATAGCTAACTGTTGCATCTCTTACTTTGGTTATCTCAAGGTGTAATGGGCCATAGCTGACTGTTGCATCTCTTACTTTGGTTAACTCAAGGTGTAATGGGCCATAGCTGACTGTTGCATCTCTTACTTTGGTTATCTCAAGGTGTAATGGGCCATAGCTGACTGTTGCATCTCTTACTTTGGTTATCTCAAGGTGTAATGGGCCATAGCTGACTGTTGCATCTCTTACTTTGGTTATCTCAAGGTGTAATGGGCCATAGCTGACTGTTGCATCTCTTACTTTGGTTATCTCAAGGTGTAATGGGCCATAGCTGACTGTTGCATCTCTTACTTTGGTTATCTCAAGGTGTAATGGGCCATAGCTGACTGTTGCATCTCTTACTTTGGTTATCTCAAGGTGTAATGGGCCATAGCTGACTGTTGCATCTCTTACTTTGGTTATCTCAAGGTGTAATGGGCCATAGCTGACTGTTGCATCTCTTACTTTGGTTATCTCAAGGTGTAATGGGCCATAGCTGACTGTTGCATCTCTTACTTTGGTTATCTCAAGGTGTAATGGGCCATAGCTGACTGTTGCATCTCTTACTTTGGTTATCTCAAGGTGTAATGGGCCATAGCTGACTGTTGCATCTCTTACTTTGGTTATCTCAAGGTGTAATGGGCCATAGCTGACTGTTGCATCTCTTACTTTGGTTATCTCAAGGTGTAATGGGCCATAGCTGACTGTTGCATCTCTTACTTTGGTTATCTCAAGGTGTAATGGGCCATAGCTGACTGTTGCATCTCTTACTTTGGTTATCTCAAGGTGTAATGGGCCATAGCTGACTGTTGCATCTCTTACTTTGGTTATCTCAAGGTGTAATGGGCCATAGCTGACTGTTGCATCTCTTACTTTGGTTATCTCAAGGTGTAATGGGCCATAGCTGACTGTTGCATCTCTTACTTTGGTTATCTCAAGGTGTAATGGGCCATAGCTGACTGTTGCATCTCTTACTTTGGTTATCTCAAGGTGTAATGGGCCATAGCTGACTGTTGCATCTCTTACTTTGGTTATCTCAATGTGTAATGGGCCATAGCTGACTGTTGCATCTCTTACTTTGGTTATCTCAAGGTGTAATGGGCCATAGCTGACTGTTGCATCTCTTACTTTGGTTATCTCAAGGTGTAATGGGCCATAGCTGACTGTTGCATCTCTTACTTTGGTTATCTCAAGGTGTAATGGGCCATAGTTGACTGTTGCATCTCTTACTTTGGTTATCTCAAGGTGTAATGGGCCATAGCTGACTGTTGCATCTCTTACTTTGGTTATCTCAAGGTGTAATGGGCCATAGTTGACTGTTGATTCTCTTACTTTGGTTAACTCAATGTGTAATGGGCCATAGCTGACTGTTGCATCTCTTACTTTGGTTATTTCAAGGTGTAACACCAAGGATATAAAATAACGTTGTTATTTGATCAAAACAAGGACCCATGCCTGGCCTTATACAAGTACAACAATCACCCATGCATCACCGTGTACAAGTACAACTATCACAATTGCATCACAGTGTACAAGTACAACTATCACCAGTGCATCACCATTGTACAAGTACAACAATCACCCATAC